CATATGTTTTTATAGTAAATTTAAGTATCGAACTGGTATCGAAGTGATATCGAAGTGGTATCGTTAGGAGCCCTAGTAAATTAATTAATAGATTCTATTTTTGCAAACAATAAGATTCACTAATCTTATTAATCCTTTCACTAATTGTTAGGCAATTATTTCTTTTTAACTACTATGTAAAAATATAAGATATTAATTTAATATTTTGAGAGATTTGCACAATTGTGTTATAAGCTTTAAAAGAACATCTTTACCTTATCGTTATGTAAAAATCTAATGGCCAAAAATAATATAAAACTTATTAGTGATAACGAAGAATCCATACGACCTATTAAAAAAAGCCGACCTTGTTATCCAATTTGGCAATATTTTTCATGGAGTGAGGATAAATCTTTCGCTTTATGTAACTTATACAAGAATCAATACAGTTCTAATATAGGAGTTAGTACGATTAAAACACATTTTTCAACAATCCACCAAGATGAATGGAAAGAAATTAAATAACAAACTGTATTTTCTTTAAAGTCAACCGAAAAAAATAGTGTTATGCATCCAAAAGAAATTGCAAAAATCAATGCTTTACTTATTCAGTGGATCATATGTGATCAGCAATCATTTTCGATCATCAAAAATAAAAAATTTCAGGCTTTAGTGGCAGCACTATCTAAATATAATAAATATAATTTGCCAAGTCGACAAATGATTTCAACAACAATAGAAAATCTATACGAAAAGCAACGTAATATTCTTAAAACATACTTTAATAATCTTAGCAGTAAAGTAGTACTTACCACAGATATTTGGACCGCATATACAAATCAAGCCTATATGTCCATTACTCTTTACTGGATTGATGATAATTGGCAAATGCATTGTATTTTATTTGATTTAATACCTCTTCATGAAAGATACACAGGTACCAATTTGGCAAATATTATTGATACCATTATTAGTAACTTCAATCTCGGCAAAAAAATCATGGCAATTACCACTGATAATGCTTACAATATGGATGCATTTGGACAAAAGTTTGCGTAGTTACTATCTACAAAATATAATAATACTATATTTCGCCATATTAGGTGTGCTGCACATATCTTGAATTTAATAGTAAAAGATGGTCTCGAAGAAGCTAAGGTACCAGTTAAAAAAATCTGAGAGTTTTCAATCACTATACGATCATCTCAATGTTTACTTGAAGATCTAAAAGAGATATTTAAAATGAAGAAACATCCTTTTTTGATACCTGAAACTGATGTTAGCACTCGTTGGAATTCGACCTACTTAATGATAAAAAAAATGCACAAAATTCGTGATATGACGAAAATTTTAATTGTATCACATAAAAAATTAGAAGATATCTATTCAAATGAGAAGGATTGGAAAGAACTAAACATAAGTATTTTTTATATAATTGTTTTTTTTTTTAACTTAATAAAAATTTTCTATTAATTAATTTTTTTTTTCAGATGCTTACTATATTACTTGAGCCAATTTTTGAAGCAACACGTATTATCTCTGCATCAAGCCATCCTACTCTCAGTGATCTTCATATGGTATTGGTTGTTATCACGGATATATTAAAAGAAGCCCAACAAGAAAATAACACGATAATAAAATGGATTGTAGATAAGATGGAAAAAAAATTAAATAAGTATTGGGGAGAACTTAAGTCAGCTTTTCATAAAGCCATAATTCTTGATCCAAATAGCAAATTAGCATCATTTAAAGATGAAGAAAAATGTGAAGCACAAAATATGATTTATACAACTTATAAAGCAAATTACGCAACTAAGAATAATAGGTCTACAACAAAGTTATCCAAGCCTAAGTCTCAACGCCATTTTATCCATAACCACCTTAAAAGAACACATGAAGTTTTTACAAGTAATGATGATCCTCTTGATAAATATCTCAACATGCCTCTTGAAGATGGTGATGTTCTTGCATACTGGAAAAATAAATCCACAAATCCTCGATGGGTTCAAGTTGCTTGTATGGCACGCGATTATCTTGTGATTCAAGCGACAAGTGTGGCAAGTGAACAAATGTTTAGTATAGCAAAG